AGCTTGGAGAAAATAATAAAAACCAGCTGCCTAATCTGATCCTTTGCTGGATAAAAGCTTGGACCTGATGCAGCGTGTACTAATTTTGTCAAGGACTTGAGACCGAGGAAAGAAAAAAAAATAAAAGATGCCATTAAGATAAGAAAGTTTCAGAAACAAATCTCTGGACTTGCTGTCTAGCTCGCAGTACTGCTTTGAGCTCCATCTGTTCCAATTCTCCATGTGCTGTCTGCTTTCCCCTTCAAGGTCTTCGGAAGGTCTGCTTTCAATTTCAGCAAGATGTTTCATAGCCCATTGGGTGGTCATCTCAACTGCTTGTTAAAAGCCTGCCATTTCCCAAATGTTCAGAGTATAAAACAGCAAATGGGTATTTTCACTGCACCATTGTAACTCCTTTAAAACCCAATTTGCAAAACACTTGCGTGGACATTAGGGAAACCAGGGGCAGGGGAACAAGTGGATTTCATCTCCAATTTAGGCAAGAAATAGTGTTACGATTATTAAAGCTAGGAGTGTATGTTCGGTGCCAGATAAGAGGAAAAGCCTCACACTTGAGGAGCCCACACTTTAAGGCTCTGAGCCCACAAGCAGTTTCATAAGAGGGGAACCCTGCCGCCATAGAGAACAGCTTGCCTAGCATTATTTACCTGCCGAGGCCAGTGGAAGCAGATTTTGCATCTGCTTGCAAAGCTTTGCAGAATGATAGGCACAGAGGAAAATTTCAAAGGGTAAAAGTCACCCCTACGCAGACGCCCCACGCAAGACCTGTGCCCCACTTAATTAATTAATTGAACTGATGTATAGGTCCTGTGCTAGCCTCCTATCCAGGAATGAATTTCACCCATACTGTATAAGATTCTCCCAGGCTCTGGGTATGAGCCCTTATGCCAGATATGAATACACTACACAGAAATTATTCAATAAAATGTGCTAGAGAATGTAGGGCAAGTGGCTAAGCTTGCCAAATGGAACTGCCCTTTCTACATCATTCCCAGCCTTCCTACATTAACCACCGCAGATAAGGACAGGCACATTCTGTGTAGCAGTGCTTGTAAGTGCAATTGCCATGGAGATCAGGAATCTAGTTAAAGCTGGAGAGTGCATTAGCTCCACTTGTGGCTGGAATAATACCGTCAGGGCAGGCATCACACGATGGTGCTTACACATGGTCTTCCGAATTCTTTTTATTAGCGTGCGAGCAAATGGTCAGTCTTGGGAAGACATGCTATGTTGCTGTTAGTTTGTAATCAGTCAAGGTTCTGCAGAAGAGGATCTTGGAGAGGGAGCTGGGTCAGCAGCAGCTGAGTTTCCTGTCTGCCTCAGACTCTGATCGCAGTCAGTTCCTGAGGCAGAAGAAGAGGCAGCAATACTTTGCATTCTTAGAGCCCTTAGCAAACATTAAAGGCACGTCTACACTGAGTTAAAAGCCCCGCGGCACTGTCATGGCTGGCCCAGATCAGCTGACTTAGGCTCACGGGGCTTCAGCTGCAGGGCTATAAAATTGTATATGTTTGGACTTGGGCTGGAGCCCAGGTTCTGAGACCCTGCAAGGGAGGAAGGTCTCAGAGCCCAGGTTCCAGCCAGAGCATCTGCACTGCAATTGGATAGCCCTGTAGCCGGAGCCCCACAAGCCCAAGTCAGCTGACCTGAGGTGTGAGACTCGGAGCCATAGGTTTTTTTATTTCAGTGTAGACAAAACATTAGTAAGCCTCAGAACAACCCTGTGGGGTAGACAGATATTACTGGTATACCAAAAGGGATAAACTGAGGCACAGAGCAAATACATGACTTGATAACAATATTAGATAGTGAGTGATGGCCCAAACTTGAACCCAAATGTCCTAGCTCCCAAGTCCCTTGCATGAATCACCTTGCAACATTCCCACCGCTCAATGGATGGACCAGTACCGTTACGTAGCACTCTGGACATTCTCTGTTCTGGGACTAACAGAGCTAGGTTACGTTTACAGACAGATTCCATGAATGTGTTAAGGACAGCGTAGAGGTGATAGGAGAAATACTCCCTCCCAGACCCTACCAAAGGAGACCGTTATGAAGGTGATTTCAAAAAAACTCTTTATGAATGTTAACCAGAATTGATATAGAAAATGTTGTTATTAATTGGCCTTTAAATGCAAAATATTCCACATAAAAGGCCCCCACTGGTTGTCTAATGATAGTCCCATGATTGCTTGCTTGCTTGCTTTTCAAGATAGCAGGCACATCACAATAAGCAATAGGCTTTAATTTTGCAAGTCAGATTACATATTGAATGGTTGATTGAAATGGAAGACATTTGTTTCTTTGGTTTACAAACTAATTTAAAAAGCTTTAATTAAATACCATTTTGGCTTTGGAAAAAAATTTTAAGGGAGCATAAAAGTGACCTGTAATGGTCTTGTTCAATCTAATTAAAACTTTTCAAACAGTGTTTTTCTAATGGACTGCATGGTGGAGGAACAATCTATTCCAGCCTACCAGAGGAATAAGCTCCTTGCTTCTCATTCCCTTTGTCCTCTACTATATCTCTCCTAGCCATGGTGGTGGGGGGTGTCTGGTTGGACTCATACTGAGATTTGGGAGACACACAGAGAGAGAATCTACCAGGACTGGAATTCTAATGAATCCGGGGGTCATCAGACACCCATCTGACTCGCACAGTTATGCTGTATTTCCTCCTCTCTCCTTGTCTACCCAAAGTGTGAGCAAGGTGAAGAAGACCTTTAAAGCTGGTGGGCTTGACTGCCATTGGATCAATGTGCTGACCCACTGAATGGCATTGAACACCGTGGTGAGGTATTTTAGCTGGTTCTTTCACATGCACATACCCTATCAGGCCGCCTGGACACAGCAGAATGTCAGACACTAAGGGTATGTCTACACTGCAGACTTACCCCTTCACCCCTAGGCTTGAGACTCCAAGCTGGAACATCCACACTGTTATTTCTAGTGTGCTAGCTTGAACCTGTCTAGTGCTAGATAGACATATGCTAGTGATGGGGGAGATACTCAGTTGTAGTGTAGACATACCCAAAGTCCACACTACTGATGGCTCCATTTAAATAGCAGCTCAGCAGGTCACTAGTAAGAACTTCTATTCCTTCTATCTCTTTACTGCAAAATTAGGACTCTGATTATGTAGCTTATTCCTTTCTCAGAAATAACATTTTGTCCTTCTCTTGCACCTCACATCTGAAGATCTCAAAGCACTTTACAAGCAGTAGTTCATCGAATCTGAGAACCCTCCATGAGGTTAATAATAGTATGATCCCAGTATTGCAGATGGGGAAATTGAGGCCCAATAAGGCTAAGCAGCTTGCCCAAGATCCCACAGTATGCCAGTGTCAGATTTGGGAATAGAAGTCACTCGAGAGTGGCAAATTATTAACACATTATTATATTGTTATTATTATTATTATTAGCTCTTGTTTTCCATGTAGGAGGCAGTGCAGGATTTGACTTCAGCCCTCAAAGAGGATGCAGCAGTGGTAATCCCAGAGATCCTATCCTTAAAGCATGAAGCCCAAGTGCTCATCACTCAGTGGCTACTTGACCACTGCAGGACTGTGTTAACCGAACTTGTTGCCGATAAGGACCTTCCAAAGGAAGAGACTCTCAAGGATCTCATTGTGATTGGTGGATCTTTAATCAAAATTAACAGCAAGGAAGCAAGATGTCACATCTTATATACAGACATCTTAATTGCAGTTGGTAAGTTCTTTTCCTCCTGTACAGTACATCATTTTAACTGTAAGAATTCAGTTATTGATACCATGATACTATGCAGCCCCATGTACCCCCAAAGTACTTTAGATATGCTGCATGCAGGAATCACTTAGCCTACTGTGGGGAATGTCGAGATTCTTGGGATAGAAGACAGCAAGTGTTACGCAGCCACACTATACAACTGTTTAGGAGAGAAATGTCAGAATATTTCATCGCCCTGGAACAGCAGGTGAATGTAAGGAGGCAGAAGGTGATAACTCAATGGGACTAGAATGGGACTGGACATTGAGGCTAACATCCCACCTCTTGGGAAAAGGCTATGAAATCTTCATTGGTCATGACCTCAGTGTTATGTTTCTTCCAAGAGAGCACTGGAATGGGAATGGTGCCTATTATCACCGTGCAAGGTCATCACCGGTGCTGACCCAGAAGCCATCACCAGCTACACTTCAGACAGGGCCCTTCTTTTGGGACCTCCCAACCTAACTACTGAACAGGCTCATTGGTATTTACTTCTATGGAGGGGCCAGTGACAGCTCCATAGTTAAAGCTGAGTTGAGTTCTGCACCAAAAGGAGGGATTATGTAACATCTGACTAGTGCCAGTGTGGTGCTCAGTGTTGAACATAGATGAGACCTGGTCCCTTTCAGTCCCAAAGCTTAACAGGTTAGAGCTGGCATGATCATAGTCAGATCATAGTGAGTCACAGTGAACTGGTTGAGAAAGTCACATTTTTTTATACTGATGAAAACAAAGGAAATGTTTAGAAGACCCAAGACAATCAGACGTGGTTACAGATTCTCAGTTAGTTGTTCCATAGTAACCAATTAACTTACAAAAGAACTCCAAATGCTTAACATCTGTTGCCATAGTCTAAAAGTTGATTATTGCAAGTAGAAGGTGAAAATCAATACCTTCAGTGCCATCTTAGAACAATAGAGTGATTTGGCTGTAACACTGATATAACTGTTGTAGGTTTCCTTGGTGTATCTTTCTGGATTGGGTTTATGATATTTAGTCACTTTATTGGTATTGACCAACAGGGAGGTATGAGGATGCCCTTCTACATCTTCAGGAGTCATTTGGCCAGGCTATAGCCGACAAATCTGCCAATGCTCGACTTGCTGTGCTGCAACTGAAGAGGAGAAACATGCTGCCGGCTGCTCGCTCCTTGAGCACTTTAGCTGAGAAAGGCCAAGGGGAGCTGGGATTCCTCTTGAACTTTTTAGACGCTAAGCAACGACAGAACCTCTCTCAGGTACATCTTTCTTTGAGGCCTCCTCTAAAGCCACAATAAACAAATCTGCTTTGGGAGCCTTGTGCAGCCTGCTTATGGCTTGGGAAAGAGACAAAATTAGGCTCAGCATGGTGGGTAACATATGGACTTTTTTTGTTAATTAGCACTGGCCCCTGTGATTTGCAGAACTCCAAGATTGCAGAGGCGTGAGAGGGGGTTAAATAACGGAGGCATGAATAGTTGCCTTCCTCCTCCTCCTCCTTCTTGATTCTGGAGGGGAGATTGCGTCTCAGTTGGAACCCAATGACTGTTGTTATTACTTGAGTATAATCAGTGATCCTGATTCGGTCTCTACTGAGTCACCAGCGCCACCTCCTGCACCATTCCAAGTCACCGTCCTTGGAAGTCTCCACTCCAAGTGTTGACCAACCCTGACCCTATTTAGTTCAAATACTATGGTGACAAGGGCCATGTGGGTGGAAGGGTGAAATGGACCAATAGATAGAAATTTAACAAGACCATTGCCCAAGGTATTGCATGCATCAGGGCATCACTTATTCTGAAAAGTGATAAACCAGGAGAAGGTCAGTCTGATGATGAGCAGTACTAATATTCACTTGAGCATCTGCAATTCCAATTACCCAGAAGCTCTGTGTTCTGAGAATGCTCCTTCCTAATCAGAATCAGTTTGCTTCCTTTTATTCAATTTGTGGACTGTGGTTTGCGTGTGCTCTGGTGGGAAGCTATATTGTTATGCTTTCTCCTGGGTTATAAAACAAGCAACACACTGATACTCTAAATGCATCTTGAGGGGAGTACTTGTATGTATTTTAGTGAACCAGCAGGAGGACATAAGTAAACAAGTATTAATTTACCAGTCCCTAGATACACTCCATTACCATGAAAAAAGCCTCTCTCCTCTGGATCACATGCAATGTTCACTCTGCTGGGGGAAGAGCTAGGAGATATTAGAAGTAATTTGCAACCATCAACAATATAAAGAAGATAAATGTGCAATCAAGTGTTTCTGTGGAGACCCAAGAGCAGGTGCCTGTCAGTGAAGATAAGGTTTAGAGCTGAATTCCCCAAGTGGCCAGGTCACTCTGTCTGCATGGGAGTCTCACCGCTATATCCCTGCTCACTGCTTTGAAAGCACAGGAGTTCCTTCGAGTTGCTGTTAAGAAAAATGTACTTTTTGCACCGTTTAAACCAGCCTGACTTTTGGGGCACTCAGTGGTGCTACAGATAATGAAATCTTCAGAAGCGGGAGAGAAGCTTTTTTCTGCCTTTTGTGGGCAGCTTTGGCAATGGGTCAGAACGAAACCTTTGCCAGGGGCTGATTTAATCTGAAATATTCCTCTCCCCTGCCAGAGATGAGGCAGCTGGGCTGGTTTCAAAGAAGCAAGTTGATAGGAGTATTAAAAATAAAACAAGACTCTCTTAATATTTTGTTTGTAATCTCACGGACAGAGGAACTGGGTGCACATTTGGACCTCAGCCACTTCGAGGTCTTTCCACAGAACACTTGTCTTGACTGCAGAAGGGTTACTTGCTGCAATTATTTTTATTAGTGATTAGCCCAGAATAAAACTTGTGAATTAAGCACCCCCAGATGGTTCAGTGATTGAAATCCCCACTGGGCTGTTTTCCAGGTGTTTTACCTGTAAACCCTTGTTGGGCACACATGGTAATTTAAGTACCTGTGTGTGTAAGGGAGTTCTTGGTAAAAGCACAGAAACTATTGAACACACTTTGTGCAAAAATAAGTAAAAGAGGACCTCAAAGTGCTTTACAAAGATGAATCAGTTCATCCTAATTAAACCCCTGGTGGGGTTGGTTCCATTGTTATCTCCAGTTTATAAAGTGGGAAACTGAGACATAGAACTATTCAGTGAGTCACCCAAGGTCACAAAGTGAATCAGTAGCAGAGCTGGAAATAGAACTGAGGAGTCCTGATTCCCCCAATACCTGCTCTAACTACTCATACTGCACACATTGATTCTGAAGTGTTTGGGGGGACAAAGGGTGTTAAATATGTCGTTGTTATCCTGGAGTCTGGTCCAACAAGTTAAAAACAAATTAAAAGCTATCTGCATGAGAAAGGGTGGAGAAAAGAGCTCTCCTGACACTTGTCAGAAGAGAAGCCCTTATTAAAAACTTAAAAAGCAAAGGAATTACAAATAATAAAACCCTCCCACTACAAAGGGTATTTACAGTCAAGGAATCCGGGTGCTGAGGAGTCTGAAAATAGCAGAAAGGTCACTTGCGCCTAAGAGACTGAAAGATTGTTTTGACTCCAGAAGGTCAGAGAAAAGGAGCTTGCTGTGTCCGACCCTGCAATTTCTGATGTCAGAGGTTAAACATTTATTGCTGGTTGCCAGCTGTTGGTTTTTCCCCTGGGCTATTTGCAACTGCATCCCCGCAGAAATACTTTCAGGGCCCAATGGAGCCCCATTGTGAGCTGGTGCGATTCCAGCAACATCTGAAACTGGCCCTCAGTGTTAGGCAGCATGCTGGCCCATTCCACACACTATTGTGTGCAGGAAAACTCAAAATTGGCTTTGGGAGCAGTGCTAGTCATTTGGGAAAACAAAGGTTTTGATTTGGTTTTCAAAGAAACCTAGGGGATTTAGACACATACGTCCTGTTGAAATTCAAAGCCCCAAACTGCTTTGAAAATCTCTACTAAAGCCTTATGCTTCTGTCCTCTTTCAGATTGTTATTATCTGCATATGGAGTTGACAGTCTCCTCTCACCCTAATTTTTCCTGATGCAAACATTTAAACAGTTGAGGTCATGTTGGTGATGCGAAAAAAGAAAGATGTTTCTTGACTGCAAAGCAACTTGCTGTAAAGCAAAGTTAAGCCTGCTTTCCATGGTTTTTTCTGCACTCCCTTTCTGTAGTTGCTTTATAAGTGTCTTTGTTCAGAAGCAGCTGTACAAACTGGGCTGCTAATTAGTGTGTTTCATCTGTACTGTACATTCAAATGGGCCCTCTACCATTCCTTTATAATAAACTAGTGACTAGGCAGCTCGCAAGATCATGATCACCATGTTTATTCCAGTAGTGGAAACAGAATAGTATAATTTAGTTCTCAGAAACTCTTCCTGTGAGTTTGGTTGAGGGGAGTAATCCATAATTTCCCAACAACCAGCTTGTTTAGATCCAGCAATGTCAGAGATCCCTGCTTTCTGTCTGAAGGAGTCAAAGCAGAAACTTACTTAACAATCGGAGCTGCCTCTGCTGTATTGAGCTTAACCTGACTCCTGCTCGACAAAGTTCAATGCAAAGTTAGTCAATAAAGATTGGCGCTAACTGGAAAAGGTCTTCACGACAGCAACAGAAATGTGCACAGGTGGTTTCTCTGTCACTGAGAAAATATTTATCCTTAAAAGGGTGGAGCATTGTCTATTAAATGTACAAACATGTATTTCAAAGAAATGCCCTGTGCTTTTTAGGGCAATGTGATCTAGCACTCACAGGAAAAATTCTGTTGTGTTAGGATGCTCCTGACATAAAGCTGTGGGCTTTTTTGGTTCCTGGTTCTATCTTGACCTTCTGTTAAAATCTGGCAGCTAAGCCCTGGTCTACACTAGGACTTTAGGTAGAATTTAGCAGCATTAAATCGATGTAAACCTGCACCCGTCCACACAATGAAGCCCTTTATTTCGACTTAAAGGGCTCTTAAAATAGATTTCCTTACTCCACCCCTGACAAGTGGATTAGCGCTTAAATTGGCCTTGCCGGCTCGAATTTGGGGTACTGTGGACACAATTCGACGGTATTGGCCTCCAGGAGCTATCCCAGAGTGCTCCATTGTGACCGCTCTGGACAGCACTCTCAACTCAGATGCACTGGCCAGGTAGACAGGAAAAGAACCGCGAACTTTTGAATCTCATTTCCTGTTTGGCCAGCGTGGAAAGCTGCAGGTGACCATGCAGAGCTCATCAGCACAGGTGACCATGATGGAGTCCCAGAATCGCAAAAGAGCTCCAGCATGGACCGAACGGGAGGTACGGGATCTGATCGCTGTTTGGGGAGAGGAATCCGTGCTATCAGAACTCCGTTCCAGTTTTTGAAATAAGCCAAAACCTTTGTGAAAATCTCCCAGGGCATGAAGGACAGAGGCCATAACAGGGACCTGAAGCAGTGCCGCGTGAAACTGAAGGAGCTGAGGCAAGCCTACCAGAAAACCAGAGAGGCGAACAGCCGCTCTGGGTCAGAGCCCCAAACATGCAGCTTCTATGATGAGCTGCATGCCATTTTAGGGGGTTCAGCCACCACTATCCCAGCTGTGTTGTTTGACTCCTTCAATGGAGATGGAGGCAATACGGAAGCAGGTTTTGGGGACGAAGAAGATGATGAGGAGGAGGAGGTTGTAGATAGCCCACAGCAAGCAAGCGGAGAAACCGGTTTTCCCGACAGCCAGGAACTGTTTCTCACCCTGGACCTGGAGCCAGTACCCCCCGAACCCACCCAAGGCTGCCTCCTCGAGCCAGCAGGCGGAGAAGGGACCTCTGGTGAGTGTACCTTTTAAAATACTATACACGGTTTAAATGCAAGCATGTGAAAGGATTACTTTGCCCTGGCATTCGCGGTTCTCCTGGATGTACTCCCAAAGCCTTTGCAAAAGGTTTCTGGGGAGGGCAGCCTTATTGCATCCTTCATGGTAGGACACTTTACCACTCCAGGCCAGTAACACGTACTCGGGAATCATTGTAGAACAAAGCATTGCAGTGTATGTTTGCTGGCATTCAAACAACATCCGTTCTTTATCTCTCTGTGTTATCCTCAGGAGAGTGAGATATAATTCATGGTCACCTGGTTGAAATAGAGTGTTTTTCTTCAGGGGACACTCAGAGGAGCCCATTCCTGCTGGGCTGTTTGCCTTTGGCTAAACAGAAATGTTCCCCGCTGTTAGCCATGGGGAGGGGGAGGGTTGAGGGGGTAGCCACGTGGTGGGGGGAGGCAAAATGCGACCTTGTAACGAAAGCACATGTGCTATGTATGTAATGTTAACAGCAAGGTTTACCCTGAAAGAGTGTAGCCACTGTTTTATAAAATGTGTCTTTTTAAATACCGCTGTCCCTTTTTTTTTCTCCACCAGCTGCATGTGTTTCAATGATCACAAGATCTTCTCCTTCCCAGAGGCTAGTGAAGCTTAGAAAGAAAGAAAAAACGTACTCGCGATGAAATGTTCTCCGAGCTCATGCTGTCCTCCCACACTGACAGAGCACAGACGAATGCGTGGAGGCAAATAATGTCAGAGTGCAGGAAAGCACAAAATGACCGGGAGGAGAGGTGGCGGGCTGAAGAGAGTAAGTGGCGGGCTGAAGACAGGGCTGAAGCTCAAATGTGGCGGCAGCGTGATGAGAGGAGGCAGGATTCAATGCTGAGGCTGCTGCAGGACCAAACCAGTATGCTCCAGTGTATGGTTGAGCTGCAGCAAAGGCAGCTGGAGCACAGACTGCCACTGCAGCCCCTCTGTAACCAACCGCCCTCCTCCCCAAGTTCCATAGCCTCCACACCCAGACGCCCAAGAACGCGGTGGGGGGGCCTCCGGCCAACCAGCCACTCCACCACAGAGGATTGCCCCAAAAAAAGAAGGCTGTCATTCAATAAATTTTAAAGTTGTAAACTTTTAAAGTGCTGTGCGGCATTTTCCTTCCCTCCTCCACCACCCCTCCTGGGCTACCTTGGTAGTCATCCCCCTATTTGTGTGATGAATGAATAAAGAATGCATGAATGTGAAGCAACAATGACTTTATTGCCTCTGCAAGCGGTGATTGAAGGGAGGAGGGGCGGGTGGTTAGCTTACAGGGAAGTAGAGTGAACCAAGGGGCGGGGGGTTTCATCAAGGAGAAACAAACAGAACTTTCACACCGTAGCCTGGCCAGTCATTAAACTGGTTTTCAAAGCTTCTCTGATGCATACCGCGCCCTTCTGTGCTCTTCTAACTGCCCTGGTGTCTGGCTGCGCGTAACCAGCAGCCAGGCGATTTGCCTCAACCTCCCACCCCGCCATAAACGTCTCCCCCTTACTCTCACAGATATTGTGGAGCACACAGCAAGCAGTAATAACAGTGGGAATATTGGTTTCGCTGAGGTCTAAGCGAGTCAGTAAACTGCGCCAGCGCGCCTTTAAACGTCCAAATGCACATTCTACCACCATTCTGCACTTGCTCAGCCTGTAGTTGAACAGCTCCTGACTACTGTCCAGGCTGCCTGTGTACGGCTTCATGAGCCATGGCATTAAGGGGTAGGCTGGGTCCCCAAGGATACATATAGGCATTTCAACATCCCCAGCAGTTATTTTCTGGTCTGGGAATAAAGTCCCTTCCTGCAGCTTTTGACACAGACCAGAGTTCCTGAAGATGTGAGCGTCATGTACCTTTCCCGGCCATCCCATGTTAATGTTGGTGAAACGTCCCTTGTGATCCACCAGAGCTTGCAGCACTATCGAAAAGTACCCCTTGCGGTTTATGTACTCGGCGGCTTGGTGCTCCGGTGCCAAGATAGGGATATGGGTTCCGTCTATGGCCCCACCACAGTTAGGGAATCCCATTGCAGCAAAGCCATCCACTATGATCTGCACATTTCCCAGGGTCACTACCCTTGATATCAGCAGATCTTTGATTGCGTGGGCTACTTGCATCACAGCAGCCCCCACAGTAGATTTGCCCACTCCAAATTGATTCCCAACTGACCGGTAGCTGTCTGGCGTTGCAAGCTTCCACAGGGCTATCGCCACTCGCTTCTCAACTGTGAGGGCTGCTCTCATCTTGGTATTCATGCGCCTCAGGGCAGGGGAAAGCAAGTCACAAAGTTCCATGAAAGTGCCCTTACGCATGCGAAAGTTTCGCAGTCACTGGGAATTGTCCCAGACCTGCAACACTATGCGGTCCCACCAGTCTGTGCTTGTTTCCCGAGCCCAGAATCGGCGTTCCACAGCATGAACCTGCCCCATTAGCACCATGATGCATGTACTGGCAGGGCCCATGCTTTCAGAGAAATCTGTGTCCATGTCCTGATCACTCACGTGACCGCGCAGACGTCGCCTCCTCGCCCGGTATCGCTTTGCCAGGTTCTGGTGCTGCATATACTGCTGGATAATGCATGTGGTGTTTAATGTGCTCCTAATTGCCAAAGTGAGCTGAGCGGCCTCCATGCTTGCCTTGGTATGGCGTCCGCACAGAAAAAAGGCGCGGAACGATTGTCTGCCGTTGCTCTGATGGAGGGAGGGGCGACTGACGACACGGCTTATAGGGTTGGCTTCAGGGAGCTAAAATCAACAAAGGGGGTGTCTTTACATCAAGGATTATTTCAGGCAGGACTTCACGGAGGGTTCCAATAAGAAATGGTGCACCTAAGTTATTGTTCTTATTGGAACAAGGAGGTTAGCCTGGCCTCTGATTGATACATGGCTAGATTTACCTCGCTGCACCTTCTCTGTGAGTGACTGCAGTGTGACCCAGAGGAATGAGTCCCCTAGACAGGGGAGGAGGCAAATGAGTACAAAACAAATCTGGTCTATTTCTTGTTTTTATCCACTCCATCTATCTTTTACATCTTTGGCTGGCAGCAGACAGTACAGAAGGACTGCATGCCATCCACATTTCATGGCTGCTCGGCAGAAGATGGTACAGTACGACTGCTAGCCATCCTCATCTCTTGCCTGCCTGGCAGAAGATGGTACAATACGACTACTAGCAATCCTCATCTCTTGCCTGCCCGGCAGAAGATGGTACAGTACGACTGCTAGCAATCCGTATCGCCTGCCTGCTCACCATAAGACGGTTCAATAGGACTGACTGCAGGACTAAAGAGAATGACCTGGTCAAGTCACTCCAAATTTAGTCCCTGCGCCCATGTCTGCCCAGGCGCTCCCAGCCGACGTGGCCAGGAGCACCTCGGACACAACGAGGACGGCTACCAGTCGTACTGCACCGTCTGCTGCCAGAAGGCAATGGGTTCCTGCTACTGTGTAGCAAAGCCGTACCGCGTCTGCCAGCACCCAGGAGACATAGGGTGACAGTTACCTGAGCGGGCTCCATGCTTGCCGTGGTATGGCGTCTGCACAGGTAACTCAGGAAAAAAGGCACGAAACGATTGTCTGCCCTTGCTTTCATGGAGGGAGGGAGGGAATGGGGGCCTGATGATATGTACCCATAACCACCTGCGACAATGTTTTAGCCCCATCAGAGTGCTCCATTGTGACTGCTCTGGACAGCACTCTCAGATGCACGATTGTTTGCCTTTGCTCTGACGCAGGGAGGGGCGACTGAGGACACGGCTTACAGGGTTGGCTTCAGGGAGCTAAAATCAACAAAGGGGGTGTCTTTACATCAAGGAGTATTTGAGGCAGGATTTCACGGAGGGTTCCAATAAGAAATGGTGCACCTAAGTTATTGTTCTTATTGGAACAAGGAGGTTAGCCTGGCCTCTGATTGATACATAGCTAGATTTACCTCGCTGCACCTTCTCTGTGAGTGACTGCAGTGTGACCTAGAAGAATGAGTCCCCTAGACAGGGGATGGGGGGAAGCAAATGAATACAGAACAAATCTGGTCTATTTCTTGTTTTGATCCACTCCATCTATCTTTTACATCTTTGGCTGGCAGCAGACGGTGCAGAAGGACTGCATGCCATCCACATCTCATGGCTGCTCGGCAGAAGATGGTACAGTACGACTGCTAGCCATCCTCATCTCTTGCCTGCCCGGCAGAAGATGGTACAGTACGACTGCTAGCAATCCGTATCACCTGCCTGCTCACCATAAGACGGTTCAATAGGACTGACTGCAGGACTAAAGAGAATGACCTGGTCAAGTCACTCCTAAATTTAGTCCCTGCGCTCATGTCTGCCCAGGCGCTCCCACCCGACGTGGCCAGGAGCACCTCGGACATGACGATGACGGCTACCAGTCGTACTGTACCATCTGCTGCCACAAGGCAAGGGGTTGCTGCTACTGTGTAGCAATGCCGTACCGCGTCTGCCAGCACCCAGGAGACATAGGGTGACAGTTACCTGAGCGGGCTCCATGCTTGCCGTGGTATGGCATCTGCACAGATAACTCAGGAAAAAAGGCTCGAAACGATTGTCTGCCCTTGCTTTCATGGAGGGAGGGAGGGAACGGGGGCCTGACGATATGTACCCAGAACCACCCACGACAATGTTTTAGCCCCATCAGGCATTGGGATCTCAACCCAGAATTCCAATGGGCAGCGGAGACTGCGGGAACTGTGGGATAGCTATCCACAGTGCAATGCTCCGGAAGTCGACTCTAGCCTCGGTACTGTGGAAGCACTCCGCCGAGTTAATGCACTTAATGCACTTAGAGCATTTTCTGTGGGGACACACACACTCGAATATATAAAACCGATTTCTAAAAAAACGACTTCTATAAATTCGACCTTATTCCGTAGTGTAGACATACCCTAAGAAAATCCCAGTATATTGGATAGTTGCTTTCAAAACAGCTCTAAATATAAATTACATTTGGTGACCTGTAAATAGTATAGGCAAACAGAGGTCTGACGTGTTTTCGGATAAACCACCTGGCACCTTTAGGGCCAGATCCATTGAAGTCAATGGAGCACCGCTGATTTACACCAGCTGAGGATCTGGCCCCGAGTCATGCATTTCTAGGTGCAGGCGTGTGAGTCTCAGTGTTGATGAGCATGGTCATAAATAGAATTCCACATTTTTAATGTAGGAATGACTGGCCTTGAGTACTGCCTAGACCATTAGGTGCAGAGAGTTGTTCCATGTCAGGAAAAGTAGTATTTTCAGGCTCTCAGATTTGACCACTGATGTTGATGTATCTTCTAAGTGGGTTCATTGAGTAATAACCAGTTCTAATCCAGCTCGGGCTGGCAATGATTGGAAGTTATGCTCATATAGTGCCCATGCAGTAACCTGTGTGAAATGAGGCGGTGGGGTTTCAACCCAGTTCCTGGTTGAACCATGTCAGTGTGACATAAAATCACTGTCACAACTGGCAGTGTCCTCAAAAAAAACCATGCACTGGGGGTGAAATTCAGAGGGCCAGTACAGGGCTCACAGACTACGGAAGTCCTAAATAAGCCTTCTTAATAGGCCCTGTCCTGGCCCTTTCCATAGAAGTGAATTTTTGGAGAAAAAAAAATCTACCCTAGAAGTGGGTAAATGTCTGGTGGGAGGCAAGCTTGCTTATGCTGTATCTATACTATGGTTGAGTAGAGGACTCCAATCTCCACAGCTGTTAGTCAAAAGACTTTCACTGGCACTAGAATTCACACCAAGTAATAAAAAAAATGCTTAAAGCTGCTGGAAGAGAATAAGGAAGCCCAGCATTTGTTACGTCCTTTTTCCCTAACACCTCAATTCAGGAAAGTACCTAAGCACATGCTTAATTTTAAGCACCTTGAAACCAAAGGGATTTAAGCAGGTGCATAAAGTTAAATATGGGCTAAGGGTATGTCTACACTACGGAATAAGGTCGAATTTATAGAAGTCGGTTTTTTAGAAATCGGTTTTATATATTTGAGTGTGTGTGTCCCCACAGAAAATGCTCTAAGTGCATTAAGTGCATTAACTCGGCGGAGCGCTTCCACAGTACCGAGGCTAGAGTTGACTTCCGGAGCGTTGCACTGTGGGTAGCTATCCCACAGTTCCCGCAGTCTCCGCTGCCCATTGGAATTCTGGGTTGAGATCCCAATGCCTGATGGGGCTAAAACATTGTCGCGGGTGGTTCTGGGTACATATCGTCAGGCCCCCGTTCCCTCCCTCCCTCTGTGAAAGCAAGGGCAGACAATCGTTTCGCGCCTTTTTTCCTGAGTTAC